TCTGAAAATACTGCACAATAACGTACCGCAAGAAAACAAACAAAAAAAAAAACACCAACAAGCTGGCAATTTTATAACTGATATAATAATAGAGTGTACTAGAATGCTGGGCTGTGTTTGGACCGGCACGAGTCGACAATGGGAACTTGCGAGACTGCGAGTGTAGACAACAGTCGCGGCGCTGCAGTCGACGGGTCAGCAGAAAGTCGTCGCAGTCCGCACGTGCCGCTGCACGTGCGCGTGCACACGGTGCACGTGCACAACCACTATCATACTGACCCTACTGCCGATGCGTCGGTGGAGACATCTATACTCTGTTTCACCTTATGATGCACCGCAGGAAAGGCTACAAGCGCGAGGTCCTTGCTCTGGGGCAAATCTCGGCGGCGTAAGCTCTCGTGTATTAAGAGCAGCTCCCAACGCCATGAGCTCGCGCTTCTAGCCTTCTCTTCGGTACAACATAAGGTGAAACGGAGTATATCGCGATCTGCACTACACGCCAACGTTACCAGATCAGCTCACTTGACAAGCTCCGCATTAGCCGCGCTTCGCAAAGCCGGCCCCCTCCGTTCGCGCCAGCGTGGTGTCGCTGTCGTCGCAGCCCGCCCTGTCCGCAAGGCCGGCCAAGCTCTGGGCAAGCTCGGGACGCTGGCTTTTCATTACGAAATCAGGCGGTCGGCGGTACGTCGGCGGCCCTTCCGCATTTCATTTTAAAAAATGGACTCTGCAAGTAGATTCTACTGCAGTCACGATTGTAATTATGCACGCTATCGATTTATTTGATTTTTACTCTATAATTCATCGGATGGCAGCATGGGTGCCTACAGTGGTTTACCTAGAGTGCCTTCATACACACGCGCTCTTTTGCGTGAGTGGTGACATCTCAGCCATTTTTCGCCCGATCGTTTTTTTATGCATTTTGAAGTGCGCGCGATCCGGTGTCACTCAGCTCGAGCGCGTAGCTTTGGCTAATGCGTAGACGCCATTTTACCGCCCAAGTCACGCACCGAGTGCGCGAGAACGTCACGCGCTGGCACATTCAGGGCAACAATGGATGTCTTCACCCTGAGACAGACAGACATGTAGGCACCCTAGGTTTACCCAGGTATTGAAAACGGGGGGGGGGGGGGGGGGTAAGTTCTTAGGGGGGGAGGGCATAGAGAATAGAGGGGTCATCGCGTATTAAGGAATGTGCCTTCAGAAACACAAAAAAAGGGGGGGGGGGTACACCCCGCCTAGGGAGTGTGTAGGGAAATCATTGAGTGCCTAGCTTTGGGTCTGGCTTCCCAGCGCGATTCTATGTTCGTGTAATATTAAAATACACCAGGATTCATATCATAGTTGATGTCTCTCATATTCGTCTATTACCAGTATCCACAAACAGGGGCTGGCGTGTGCTGCCAGCGCCGCTTGCAGTTCAGGATAAACGCTCCCACTTGTCACAAGAAAACGAACAAAATACGTTTTCTGACTTTTATTTGTTACCACAACAAATCGTCGGTAAGGCTAAAATTGCTGATGGGTACTGTGCAACGTTTATTTATTTTTGCATGGAAAAAAATGGCGAGCAGAATGCAGAATACCAGGACTGAAAAGACCAGTAGTTGGCGATCACAGGGTTCGAGCTTTCTTGTTTGCTACAGCCACCTTTTCCGCCATCTCTCGATTAATGTATCTCGCGTAGGAGAGCATTTGTGTTACAACGAAGAGGCATTGCAGTTTTCAAAAGTGGTATTTGCATTCCCACCTTCCTATATCGCATTTTCAGTGTAGCCAAAATGTCTTTATTTTGTCTCGAGATAGATCGCAGAAACATCACGAGATCTATGAAACAACATTATCATTTATGGACAACTGCAACGTTAAGAAAATAGTAGTTAATGTAAAGCGAATTTAAATTAACGCGAGCTTATAAACATGTCAACAAGCATGTTGCTGTCAAGCACATGGAGCATGCATACACTAACACAAATGAACTCGTTTTACATAGCCAACGGTGGTGTCTCACAATTCGTGCACTGTTGCCGCGAAGCTGTAGCAGGTACTGTAAAATAACGGTTCTAATATATACCACACGTTCACACGTAAATCTTCGGATATACACACACGAATCCGCGCTGATCAGCTGATTGGAAGTGATGTCTTGGAATTCTTATCCCTTAGTCACACGTCTCCTAAATGGCACACACACGCAAGGGAGCGAGGTTGTCACACACGTAAAGAACACACGAGAGGAATAACTGAGTTGTTTTCAACAGTAGCAGGCCTCTACGTAGCCGAATACAAATACAAAAACAGCCCGATTCTTTCAAATGACGAAAACGCCTTCAAATTTTCATTCTTTCCTAATGTGGCTTTGGTATGTATGAAGCATTCTACGCTCCAACTTCTGACACAAACACAGAACACCAGAAGAGGGAAGTTGAGTGCATTGTAGTCCGCAGACAACCAAGACACTATGGTCCATGTGCAGGAAACCACGAACGATAGACGCAGCCATTTCTCCGAGCTGCTTGCCTTGGTGCCAAATGTCAGAAAAGTGCGAAAACTAATGCCCGGTGAGCGTAAATTTGCCTCAAAAGTCCCAGGAAATGTTTTCTCAATCAGGACATTGACACACTGGCAACAGTACTTAGTAATACACTTTGTGAATCCACACGAAAACGATGTTTCACGGCGTATCCAGTCCACGGGTACCGAGGCCAGCCAGACCGAAGGGGTCGGGCGGGCTTAGAGTTCCTCTATACGCTCCCTACGGGCTATACAGGAACTCTAGGCGGCCTTGGACACGAGCGCCACAACACGGCAGTGAATGGCAGCGCGTCACCTTTTTTTCGGAGCTTGTGAACTTGTCCGATCCAGTAACGTTGCTACATGCCTCATGCACGCGAGCCGCTCTGGTCCCAACACATTCTAGTACACTGTAATAATACTCAGTTCCAAAAAACTGTATAGACCCCTTTTTTTGCAAAAGCCAAAGGGGGATCGGTGGCCGAGTGGGCTAGCGTAGAGCCACTAAATGAGCTACTAGGCTAGCGCACACCAGCTCGGAGCACGTGGAGCGAAAGCTCTCGCTGCAGAACATAAGGATCCTGGGTTCAATCTTCACCCCTGCCCTTTTCGACCTGGCAGATCATCCTACCGGCGTGCGGTCGTGTATCACTACTGCGTGGTGCAGGTTAAAAACCCCAGGCTAGCGGTGGTGCTGCTCTGGCAAAATGTCTCATCTACAGCCGGGAGAGAAGTCGCCCGCGGAGGCAGACTAAGTTCTAGGCTATTTAAACTTACATACACCCCACATTTTTTTTTTTTTTTTTTGCAAACGCCATTAGGCGGTTTTGTAGTCTTTGACCTTATAGAGTAACTGTATCTGCTCCGCTTGCAAAGCAGAGTACCGCAATGGTGATCCCAAGGCGGCCATTTTGGATCCAAGGCCGCACTGCGGGAAGCGACCGTCACAAGAGCCCCTGACGCGCTGATGGCGTGGCTGTGAGGCGGCGTGCTGCGGCGTGTGGAGCAGAGAAGATATAGTGCGGTGACAAGCCGTGCGTGCACCGTCGTTCCGTTATTTGTCTCTTGTTTTTCTCTATGCCTTCGGTAGATTGTAGTAGTCGACGAAAAGGACGTCCTTTCACAAGCCACAGCTACGCGTTGTTTTCTGGTGCGAAGTGCCCGGATGTGCCACTCGTGTATCACTCCGTGAGCGCTACTTTCGCGATTTACGCGATCGTCCTCCCTGTCGTCTTCTTCCCATACTTTGAAAACATGTTTTAAAATATTGCACGAATTATAAAACAACACGATTATACTGTTTCCAGTGGCTACAACAAATGTTGAACAGTCAAGGAACCTTCCAATTTGTTTCATTTTAGTTTAGGATGTATATTTCGCAAACGCAAGGCGAGAAACACGATCAGCTCCAAACTCCGCGCCTGCAAGGTCGCTCTTCCGCACGCCGTTGGATCCACCTCGGGGCAAGTAACCGCTTCTCCGCCGATACGAACTTGGTGGCGAAAGGAAAAGGAACGCGATGCTCTGGCTCTGCAAGTGGAGCCTATAAAGCTACTCTATGCCGTCCAAGCAAACTTTCGGTACATAAAAATAAGGAACAGAGTCACTCTGAGTACCGCTGTTTAAAACGTCTATGAAGCATTTAACCACCAGTTCTCCACGTGAATGACAAAAGAACCGAGGAGCAAGAGATCTCTTCAAATTTTTCGAATATTCTTGTAAGTCAACTTGTCTTTTCCAAGACGTTAGATCATATAGCCTTAAGACCCTCGCTAAACCTCCAACTTTGTCTCCTGTGTAGCATTTATGATTTCTAGCACTGGTGACATAAGCAAGCTAGGCAAGCTTGCCAAAACGGAGTGACCTGAAGTCACGTGGGACGCAAGTTGGGGCTGACGTTTGTAACGAGTAAAACGGTCTACACAACTCATAGACTCTACATTTTTATGGTGCGTTTTGCTCACGCCGCTGTGAAATATTTTCAGTTATGCCCGAGTCCCACTAGAGCGGCGCCCAGAAACTAACGACAGTTTCAATCCTGAAACTGAAAGACTCTAGTTTCAATCCTGAAACTAGAGTCTTTCACGATTTGGATGATTCTCTAGAATAAAGCAGGCTATGCTCAAACACGAGCATCATGCACTCGAGGGTAACTTTGGCAGGCTTGCAATCACTCGTGCTTACTTCATGAGCACCGAACGACTAAACGCCTGCCAAAGGTACTATCGCGAGCATGCTGCATGTGTTTCAGGCTTGTCACTGTCGTTCGTTCCCGTTTGTCGCTCTAGTGGGCCTCGGGCATTAGACGATACAAGGGCGTAATTTTCAAAAGGGTCCATCAGATTTGCTCAAGAGGTCTAGCTTTCTCCGTTTGCAAAACTAGGACGCACTTCAGTGTAGAAGTATAAACGTTTATAGGCAATCCTTTATGGCATCAACTTCTAGATATGACATTGACTAGTTTGTTTTTAGACAAACATGATCTTCGTTTACGTACTTGTTAACATTTTTCTTGCCAGAATGGCCGTAACATTCGTCACATGACGATGTTCTAACAACCTATTGAACCAGTATTGCTTCCACAAAGACGCATTTACGAGTCCAGACACAAACAGTGCGCAACTGTCCCAGTCAGGGTGAACGGATACCAGTTCCATCCTCTTGGAGATATCTATATGCCCAAGCCTGGCCAGCACGGTCAGGTGTCCCGTGACGTAGGGACCGAAGAGAGGATACTGCGGTATCACCTCTGAAGCGAGCACCAACGCCTTCAGGTATCCGGACTTAACCAGAAAGGTATCTGGCTCACAGTGCGCTGGGAGGAACGCATCTCTGTAAAGCGTTTCAGGGACATAAAATCTGTCTCCAGGACGCCTCCGGACCGGAACGAAATGTTGGTCGTCGCAGTGGAAGTATCTGTCCGTTTCGTCGAGCTTGCCGATGTACTCGTGCAGACCGAGCAGATCGGGAAACGTCGTATCGTTGATGTGGACAACGTACTCCAGCCGCGGGCTGCAATTTTCGACGATCCATCGTGCTGCCTCGATGAAGATCGGGATAATGTTGGACGACTCTGCGCTGTACGGGGCGATAAGGACGTCTCCTTTCCTCGTCTCCTTCCGCAGGAAGGTCGACATCTTCTTGTCCTCTGTGTGTCCCATGTAGAAGAGGACTCTCCAGGGAAGCGCGGATGTCACAGATTTGCTGGCCACGGTCTCCCGGATGGCTTGTCTGAGTGGCTTGTGGCTGGGGTATGTCTTCACTACTATAAGGACTCGGGTGGGCTCGCAGCACAGCTGATTTGGGTAGTGGTGAAGTAGTGGCGCGACTGGAAACAGTTGGACGACCATAATTGTGGCGCAACTCGATAGGAGAGTCACAGCGAACATTGCCTGGGGAGACGGCCTGAACTTTGCCAGTTTCCGGATTACACTGCGAGAGATATATAATATTAAGATGGGATTAATAACAACAGATCTTTGATCCCGCATGCGCTCTGAAGCATACAATGCATCTGTTTTCCCACAAAGCGTTTGGGAGAGTCAACAGCCGGAATCTATGGAGAGAGCTTATAGATTGATGATATACACAATATGTTTTAGAAGGTACACTGTCATATTCAGTGTCAGTAGGTTTTGTCACTGGTTATAACGTAAGTACTTGGAACTCCATGTTTAGTGTGGCAGTATATCGGTGCTTAGATTATTCTAATCGTCGTTGTCTTAGCGCGCTTCAACCTTCACAATAAATATTATGTTTATGAGAACGCGTTTTTAATGAGCATGCACATCATTCCCTTAACATTGTGTTGTGTATCGCACAAATTCAGATTGATGGGATGTGACACTGCCGGAACGCCTAGAACGGCTTATGCCTTTCTGCAGGGCCCGGGGTTTATTGTCCCATTAACGTTGTATTTCTAGCGAGATAAGGCACATGCATTCGAAGGTTTAAGGCACTGATTCACACAATAGGATGGTTTGAAGTATCGCAAATATGGAAGGACTAGTGGCATTCAAGTTGTAAATAAAATGAAATATGATTGCGAAAATACATAATAACTAAGACTAATAATGTGCAAGAAACACCGTGGTCTCACATCATCCTGCTGATGGCTCCCGGCTCGCTCCTTCGTGTCGTCTTCTTTGCTTTCGAAGACAACAGACAAAGGTTTTATACTTCGTTTCAGCTTCGGTCCAGACGCAGCCGATGCTACAAGTCTCGGCGGCACAAACTCTCGTGCATTAACCGCAGCTGCCAACGCTATGAGCTCGCGCTTCTAGCCTTCGCTGCGGTACAACATAGGGTGAAACGGAGTAGACAGCCAGTTGGAAGCCTCTGACTCGGTCGGTTTATGTGGTCACGAGAGCTCTCCCAGCCTTGAGATCAAAAGCACGCGCTCACTCATTCATCGCTTGTCGCCGGGCGAAAACGTCTGAATCCCTGGGCTGTGGACTCATGCGCAGCGTCCGCGATATACCGCACTGCAGAGCGACAGCGCACAGAAGGCGTTTCACAGCACAGCAGACAAAAATGGCAGCGCGCAGAAGGCGATTTTTGGAATTTTCGCAAAGGTCTATACATCACAGCCCTTCCTCCTTAAGGTGTATCCACACGACGGACCGGGCCGCGGACCGATTGATCACGTGATGCGCGACCCGCGGGCCGCCCGGCTGCAATGAGCATCCACACGGCGGACCAAAAGAGCAGACGACAGAGTGAACGGGCCGGCCTAACCCTCGACCTCACAGCTCCACCAAACGCATGCAGCGAGCTGCTTTGAGGCTATTTGTAAGGAGCCAAGATGGAGGTTGAACGACAGAGCCGCTTGACCGCGGTGGCCCTGGCGTTGACTATTGAGAACCGAAAAGGGCTTGCATCTATTGTCCCACAGAGCGGGGAATTGCTCCACGAGCGCGATGAAGTAAAAAGTTGCATCGTCGCACCATGCCGCCATCGTGGCACAACAAAAGGTTCGTCTTCGTCTTCAACAGTTAGCGCCAAAATAACACGACTTTGGATTTGGATTCCAATCCAAACAACAAAAGTCAGCTTGTTGCCAGACTTAGCACTTCAAATATACTAAAAACGCCGCGGTCCGCCGCCAAGGTCCGGACGAGAAAAGTCGCTTGGCATTTCTCACAAGCGCGGGCCGCGGACCACCGGCGGACCTCGAAAACCGGTGACGTAAGATCACGTGATGCGCGGCCCGCGTACCAAAACAGCGATTTGGTCCGTCGTGTGGCTACACCTTTAGACGTAGTCACCACGTCTGTCTGGTGGTCGACGCATTTGGGAGCTCAGTCGTGTTGCAGGTAACGCGGAGGACCCCACTGTCGGTGACGGGCACATAAGGTGAACGTCGTGAACTGTGTTGTGCTGTTAAGGCCACGGTCCCACTGAATGTGGCAGTTTAGGTACATTTTGGCAGGTCATATACTCATCTCCTTTTAAATACTGTTTTGTGGGATTGATGTCATGCGAAAGGCAATGCAATCCTCTTTCATTTGATATTATGTATGTGTTGGTTTTTACTGTTCATGCGCATTTGTAGCATTGCGAATATGATGGCGCGGACCCTCACTTGCTCCGCTAGTTCATGTGTTATGAACGATCCATTAAAGATAACACGGTTTCAATATAGCAGTTTTTTTAAGATGATGTCGAACCAGAATGTAACAACACACTTTTTTGGTATTTGCACTACTTTGGTTTTTTCATCCCTCCTAATATTGCCCTAAAATTGACACTTTTCAGCACAAATATATTTTTGATGACACGCGCCAGGGCAACGAAATTAGCTACAAATGTAGTGCTTAAAATTGGTAATATGCAGAAAAAAATTTAATGTTGTGTAAAATATTTTTGTTTAGATATTTTATATCGAACGTAGCACTTTTTTGTGCTTCGAGTCATGGTACTTCAAATGCTGCTGAGGAAATAATTAAACTATGATAAAATCTTTTATAACGTTTAGAGCTACAATGGTTGCCCGAGAGGTGGACGATGGCTTTTTTTCATTTTCAAAGTCATAACCCTCCAGGAGCGTTTCAAACTTACCTATTTTGACGCAAATCTTTTTTGGACATCAAACAGATTTATTGGCATCTATGAATATTTATTGTTTGGAATAGATATACATTGCGATGCATCAAATTTTCACAATGATCTTGCTTTGGTTTCTTAATAGGTGTAGAGCTTAGCTAATTCTAAAAACAATTAAAACTGTTTGGGCGTTTCGTTGCGCTACCTGGCGGATGGCAGACAAACTGCTGATTTCTTATGTTCAAAAAATTTCCGAGGGCGGCGTTGGCGTCTGCATCATCATCAATCTCCGTGTCTTTTTACCCTCACATTTAAGAAATATATTGTAAAACTTACTATCGATAACTGAATGGTTTAAGTACTGGGTCAGGCTAATAAATCTAAGACAAATAATTACACAGGCGTAACGTGATATAATGTGTTCATTATTCGATATGATTGAAATCAATAAACAATGAAGACGAAGAGGAAAAGAACACACCCGAGTTCACTTCATGCCTAGAGTCACTAAATGAGCTTTAAAGCATCGGCACTCCGTTCCCCAAAATTGTTTTGGGCGCCGCCATTTTGGGTCTTGCTCGGAGCGAACGCAACTGCCGATCATCGTGATCCAAAAGTACGACTTCCTCAGCATTTGATGCGGTGCTAGGCAGCTGATGCAATATTGCAATGCTCTGTCGCGGGTTGTTTAAACATTTGTGAGGGACGGAAAAGCGTTTCCTGTGATTTTAGTTAAAGCTTCATATAACTGGCAACCATGATCTTAAGCCACAATATGACCAAGTGCCGTTACTCTGAACCGTAGCTAATTTACTGGCACAAGCGGGAACAATGAAGAAGAGGCAGGAGTCAAAAGGTAGTGGCTTGTGGAATCCAAGGGGCTCACGTCATGGCCCCTCCAGGTATTACAAGCCTCTTGAATAAGAGCATAAATAGTGTCATTAAATAAGCTACGCTTCAGAGTAGCGACACTTGACCTTATTGTGGCTTAAAATCATGGTTGCTAGTTATTTGAAGCTTTATCTGAAATCACAAGAAACGCTTTTCCGTCCTCCACTTTAAACAGTTTGCGACATAGCAAACCAACATTACATGAGCTTTGTAACACCGAATCTAATACTGAGGATGTTGCACTTTTGAATCATGACGATCGGCAGTTGCGCCTGCTCTGCACAAGCACCAAAATGGCGGCGTTCACAACACTGTCGGGGAAGAGAGTGCCGATACTCTAAGCGCAGCTCATTTATTGGCTGTAGTTCCCGCGAAACTCCTTTTCCCTGACTGAGGCTGAAAGGAAATATGAATAATACACCATTATTATAGTATATTTAGTTATAACCAAATGCACATAATGAGAAGAGGAAGCGGGCAGGAGGAAAGCGGGTTTTATGTGCGACCGTTCTAGTGCAGTCTCAAAAAAGAGAAAGCACGAGCTTGCGCCGGTTTAGAAAAAAAAAGGCATTCAAAGAAAAGAGGCGGCACGCTGTGTTCTTTTTGATTATGCGTCTAGGTGCAAATTGTTGTGTGTATGTTTATACAGCCGGAAGTCAGTCTGCCTTAGTGGGCGTCTGGTGTCTCAGCTGTAGATGAGCAATTTAGCCAGTGCGGTACAACCGCAAACCTTGGGTCTTTAACGTGCACCACGCAGTAGTGATACACGACCGCACGCCGGCACGATGCTCTTCCAGATCGAAACGGGCAGGGGCGGGGTGGGTTCTGCAGCGCGAGCTTTCGCTCCAAGTGCTCCGAGCGATTCATCACTGAACTGCTTCTTCCGTAAGCTTCAAAAGGGCTTTTTTTTTGTTTCGCACACCATCTGTTCTGCATGCCCGTTAGTTGCAGGATGGTATGGGGCACTAATGTGATGCCTGATGCCAGTTTTTTTTTCTTCAAAAACTTGTTTATTTTGTTTGAAGCAAGATTTGGCGCGTTATCAGAGAAAAGTATTTTCGGTAGGGCAAAAGTAGGTAAAAGAGACCGTAGAACGCCAATGACGTGTATGGACGTCGTGGCAGGCATCGTGTAAACTTCCAGCCACTTAGAGTACGCATCGCCCATGACTCCACAGATGTGGATACGTTTCGCCACCCACCGACTGAATAGTGGATCGTGTTCAGTTACTGTTCATGATGGCGTTGGACTCAAGGAGGACTTCGAGTCTTTCCACAAAGTTAGCCCAGATGCCACGACTTTTGTCGAAAGCGGTAAGTGTTCGAAACGTCGACAACGTCGGTAGCCACGTGTTGTGCTTGACACTGGACATTTACCATTCGCTGAGAAGAAACTTGCTTGTTCGTCTGCCATGAGTCGTCCGATATCAGGTCATCACCGCAACACCATCTCC